AAAAATAGTAGCTGGTCAGTAGGTCCAAAAGAGACATAATGGTGCCGGCTGGCCTCCATGGCAACCCTATACTATCACAGGGCCACTTGAAACAGACCCGAATGCATCGTAAGCACTTCAGCCACAGTTTGACTGGCCAGTAATAGTAGATACCAGTCACAAGGGAATGATAATAGTAAGTAAGTATAACTCTCTGCCAAAGTGAGGATCAGCTCTACATACCTTTTCCTTTCCGACAGAGACGATGTCCTTCAACCACTGGAGCAAAAATGGATTAGAACAATGACAGACGATCGGTATTTCAGCAGGAGGAAGAGGCAGTGAAAATTCCAGCAATGTTTGGGCAGCACAAACTACAAACGCCAAGTGCTTCTCCTCGAATGCTCTGGAGCAGTATCCGGAATGCTGTCAAATACACATGCTGACAGATAATGTATGTTCAGAACTCATTACCTTCCACGACTAGTTGCTTGGGAAGGAGGTCTAGAGACATCCCACCGCCAATCGGTTGCTGGTTCAGGGATGTTTGTGAGCGAGAGAGCGGCCGCACCTTGGACAGGCTAGCCAGCTGCTCTTCCAACAATTGGTTTGAATACCTCTACGAATGCATGGGACATCACATGTTAGCACAGGAGCAAGAAACAGAATATTAGCGTATTGAAAGGAGACTGAATGGACAAATAGACACAAGTAATGAGAAAGTGTCCACCACTGTAACCAGACAGTACGAGTCACACTACAATACAGTCACAAAGTGCAGTGACGGCTAGTCACACTACAATACAGTCACAAAGTGCGACGGTTAGGGACCAAACTGACAGAGTACAGATATGTCTCTGTGAATACGAGCTATTAGGAAATTGAGGAGACGTGTTAAAGCTAGGTGTCAGATCATTAAGTTTTAATGACCGGACACCTAGCTTTAACACATCTCCTCATTTTTTTCTCATAGTTCGTATAAACTTGTCCCTTGCCCTTTCTATATCACTGGCTCGGCAAGTGTCATGGTGCATTGCCTATTGTTTCAATCGTCTATAGTTCACAGCTGAATTGCCAGCACTGTGGGACCATGATGGGAGACTTTTGAAGAAAACTACAACCAAGTTTCAGATTTTGTTACAGTTTGGCTGCATACGACAACCAGAGAGCGACAATGACATGGCTCGGATGTTATCTAGTCCTTCTCCTTGTGCCAATAGATACACAGATACACAGACACACAAACACACACACACACACACACACACCACACACCACACACACACACACACACACACACACACACACACACACACACACAACACTGAAAATACCACAACTGCTAGACACTGGAAAAAGTCATTGACAGATGTTCTGAGCATGCAAACGGTGACTCATTAATAGAGAGGTTCCGCACTACGTGAAGTTGAGCAACTTTACGTTAGTGGACAGGGAAAACCCGTAAATTCGCGAGTTTGCATTCCACTTGCGGAACGTTGTGTACGTAGAGTATGTAGATAGGGCTCTGATAACGGAGGTGCTCCGTATGTGGATTGGGGTACAAATTGTATGACTCTCCTCAGGTTGACCCGGCCGCGTTCCGAGTTATCAAGGGCAGCTACGTGATTTGAAAACTCCGTCTGGCAGAACACAGATCCGCATGCAGTGTACGTAAGACTTTCCGTAGATCGACTACGTTTTTACTAACGTAATCACGTTATACGTAACCTCTCTATTATCATTTTTAAATGCAAAAGAAATGATTCTTAGTTTGCTTACAGACGATTCTGGCTGTGGCGGCACCAGCTTGACATTACACAGCTCAAGCACCTTTTCGAAGGCGGACGTGAGGAACGCCTTCAGCTTTACTTCCTCCTGGAGACGATCACAGTGCGGAGAAAATTGAGAATCAAATGCTGTACTGGCAGTCATCCACTTGTACCAGTACTGTACGGGCAGCACTGTACATGCACATCATTGCAAAAGCAGTACAATGATTCTTTATCCACTGATGATGTTGTTCAGAACAACGAAACGTCTGGAGAAGTATCGTTAATATTTCTATCTTTATTTATCGAATATGCCACTCTTTGGTCTAGAAAGAATACTTTTTTATATTACAATGAGAGTGGATAACCAACGGCTTGTCCACAAACTCTTTGATGCGACCATGTATGAGTATATGTATGTGCTTATCGAACTGTACTGATTGTGGTTACCTGGGCTTGTCATGCAGCCTCGGTGACACGTAGACTGAGCTGCAAGTACCCTGGCTCAAACTCATTGTACAATACTCTAATTTCAGAAATTTTCGGTGCTCAATATTTTCGGTATGAGGGCAACAGGCCAGGTTAGGTGAACAGAAATTTTCGGTATATAGAAGCAGTTCCCTATTGGATTATGTGTGTTAGTGTTTGTTCGGTGTATTGAAATTTTAGGTATGAAACAGGCGCACCGAAAGTACCGAAAATAAAAGTACACCGAAAATGTGTGAAATTACAGTATACAGTAATCCATGCACGTGCATAGCAAACAACACGACGGCTATACGGCTTGCCTGTGAGTGTGCACTGGGGGGGGGGGGGGGGCAACATGGGCTGGTACATGTCAGAACAGTGTAGCCATGAAGGCATGAGTACCAGAGCTGGTATAGCCCATGTGCGCACTCAGCACAGGCAGGCTGTACGGTAAGTACTGCACACAACAAGAGCGTTGCCAACCGTATTTCCCCGAAAATATGTCCCACCTTTTCACACTAAACTTCAAGGGCAAAGAAGGGGATGTGCCTTGCAATCAAGTGTGACATCCTACTTATCGGTGAATAGATTGAAACAACATGGGTCAAACCTAAAAGTGGGGGTGCGACTTATAATCGGGGAAATATGGTAGTAACTGCAGCCATGCAGTGGATATTGACAGGCAGCGTGGTGCCAGATAGTTTGGCGTCGACATCATTTATTTGCAGATCTCTGTGGCAATCTTTGTAAACAACACCACATGGCCCTATTGTCAAACAAATACATGATAAGTATTATGTAATTGACCCGCTTCTTACATTCTTGTGCAGCAGGGCTCCACTAAGGAGTTGCGGTGTGGTGCTGAGCGCGTGCAGCTTCACAGTTGTCAGTTCATACGAAAACCTTGGAACGCTGCCTGCCTTACTATCCAGGGGCTTGTAGGGCGATATTCTCAGCTGGACCTAAACACAAAATGGGCAGTGTGATGTCAATGCAGAGTGCAGCTCTGGGAGATCCTATCACGCGAGCCACTAGCAACGGGCGCTGTGCAGCTCTTGACCTGCGCTCTCGTTTGAGCAGGCTAATTTTTTTAAAATGAGATCAGATTTCACTGACCAGCTTCAATGTCAATAATTCAATAGAGAGGTTCCGGGGTACGATTTTCCGTGCCAAAATCCGTATGGGCGCTACGGATTTTTTCCAGGCGTGCTCCATACGATTTTTCGGCACGGAGAATCCGTGTGGACTGGCTTTCATACGAACCATGTTTCGTATGGAGATTTTGCGTCATCGGGTGCAGAAAGATTTTTCGCGTACAAATTTGGACCGAGAAACATCGATTTTCCGCGGGAAGTTTTGATTTCGGTACAATTTTTCAAAATAAAAGGCATAGCGCGGGAATGTGACGTGTTTGCGATCGTAACCTAGACAATGACGGCAAACACATAAGTTCCGTACTTCGGAACATTTCACTGCTCGAAAACGACGTATAAAAAATCCGTAGCGCCTCTACGGATTTTGGCACGAAAAATCGTACTCCGGAACCTCCCTAATATCAATCCAATAAGCAGGATCTTTCAACAGTTCAAGACAGAAAAAAACTTTACAAAAAAGATAAAAGATCTGCGCCGTCCGGGAATCGAACCCGAGTCACAAGAATGGGAATCTTGCATGATACCACTACACCAACAGCGCTTTGGTGGGAATGCTCTGGCCTACTGAATATAATATTATTGATATTAGCAGCCACATACATACATAGGAGATGGTTCGTTATAATATAACGAACCATCTCCTATAATAGGACACATAAACAAAGTCAAAAACCAAAACGGGAAATCGTTATATAATAGGACACATAAACAAAGTCAAAAACCAAAACGGGAAATCCCCACAACGCATATATTGCGCAGCTCATGCCGCAACTGTCTCAAATTTTCCGATGGGACGTACGATGCGATGTACGACTTTGACCTTCTTTGCAGAAAAGTTGTACAAAGTTATACTGTTCAAGAGTTCCTTGTAGATTTGTAAATGTTGTAACCAGCCACACGACTGCCACGGTGACGCACTCGCCAGTATTGATCTTTGAACCATATCAGCAAGGCAACGTAGAATCGCTGACTTCTTCTGTGAACGGTATTTCGCAAGTTCGCGTCGCATCATGCATCTCATCGCAAAAAAAGATTCATTGGTTGAGTAACAGGGAAATCCAACCGTCATATTATCCAAAGGCTGCAAGGTCACGAATAAGTCGGAATAACCCACCGTTATGCCATACAACTGTGTAGGCAGGTCCGTGATTGCTTTGTACACACTCTGAAGCATGCCTCATGATCGCACCCACCTGTGTGTATAATACGACGTGACTACAGTACTGATGTAAGAAGTTTGAATATCGCTGACAAAAAAACAAGTACCCAGTGCTGGAAGCCTTGTGATGTATGCCTGTACACTCTGGGGTCTACGAACTCTTTAGACACTGTATAGCAGGAACTTTTCGGACGGAAACATTTTCGGACAAAGCCGAATTTGGACCTTTCGTACGGATTTTATTTTCATACAGTGCTGCATGCTAAATGCACGTGTTCGCATGCGGTATAACAAGAGTGAAGAGTCCATAAGCAGTTTATGCACTCTTGGGTATAATTGTATCGTGCGCATGTATTGTGTACATAACTTCACAGGAACAAATTTTAGTACGGAATTAATTTTAGTACAAAAAGAGGCCGTGAACGAAATCGTACGAAAATACTTTCTGTCCGAAATTTTCCTGCTATAGAGTAGGTGCGTAGCCGCTCAGAGCAGGATAAAACTCAATCGGAAATCCTCAGCAATGCAAAAAAAGCCATCGGTAAGTTACCTTCATTTGCAGCTTGCGCACGGTGACACCGGCCTGGACTTGGCTGACACTACCCTTGTACTGACCCATACATGTGCAGAGAAACACCAGTGGTGCAACACCATCCAAACTCCACAGGTTGAGCTCAGCAGTGATCACCTGCAGTCGCAAGACAAACAACGGTGGAAAATTGGAACACGTGCGGAACATTTTGACTTAAAATGAGCAGGTTTTTAGTGCATTGCATCTTGCAGGTACATGTGTCACTGCTACACCATGATATTCACTAGTTTGAGGGAAAGATGTTTCAGTCAAATGCAGCTAAGCACCCTTTTCACGTGCGCTGCACCATTTGTCTGAACACAAACTTAACTGAACAGAGGCTACTCATCAGTTACAGGCCTCTAATGCCATGTGCAATTTGCGCCACTCTCTTCAAATTGTGCCGTACCAGTGTATCTCGGGAGTTTCCTTCGTAGCGAAGCTGTGTATCGTTGACAGCGGGCATGCATGAGCCACTACTCATTCCGTCCAGACTGATCTTCCATGCAACCTAACAACGCAGCAGCAGCAGCAGCAGCAGCAGCAGAGCAGGAGAACAATGTACTACATGTACTAGTATGATGGAACGCAATTGCAGAAACCAAAGCAGACTGGCCTAAAAGTCCGGAATTCATTCTCACAACTTCGTGGCGCACATATACATGTACCGTATTTTCCGGGGTGTTAACCGCACCGGGGTCTGAGCCGCAACCCCCCCCCCCCCCTTTTCTAATCCATAATTCGTAGTTTTGTTGACATTCAGTGTTTAAGCCGCACGTCAGACTTTGAATTTTGTGGTAATCTGACTTTAATAGTGGGTATAGCACTATAGGTATATACAAGATATTTCCAATGGTTTAAAACGGTTGAGATGCAAGACTGAAGGTCCACAAAGGTTGCCAAGTGTGTCCTTCACTCAGAACTGACAACATGTAGAAGCTCCGTACTACATATAGTACAATGATGGATTGCAGTACAGGAAAAGTAGCTGAATGACACCATACATGCATTATATGTATGGAGTGCTGTAGTGCTGGTTGATTCACATCCAGCACTCGGAGTCTAAGCTGCAGGTGCGATTTTGAGGTATTTCGTTTCTTTTTTAAAGTGCGGCAAACACCCCGGAAAATGCGGTATTTACAAAACGTACTATGCTCCTTCACCCCGGCTTGGCTGAGCACTCTTTCTGGTCCGCGGCAAAGTTATCTGCTCTTGTGCAAAGCGCGCTGCATTTATCACCGTGTGAGCACTTTAGCTTTGATGCGCGGACCGGGCATTTTAAAAAGCCTGTGTTGTTCTTCACTAGACTTCAGTGATTGCAATCCGTTTGGCCGGTGACTCTGAGCTCTGCTGCAGAGGTCTAATAAACTTGAAATTTGTCCGGCAAGGAATTACAGAGTCGAATGGAAGATGCTGACAAGATATGTTTACCAATCGTATTTTTTGCTGTTCCCTGAGTCACATCTTCAAACCTCTCTTTGGTCTATTCTCTTGCCATTCGGACATGAATTCGAACGCCGTCTAGCAAGTCCAATGACACATTGTCACACTGCAGGGCATGAACAACCGACACTGACACACGTCCGGCTCGGCTTACTAGGCTTCATGAGCTAGGGTGCCTGGGTTGTTGAGAACACTCCACATCACTGGCCCACGGAAAACGGTTTTCAGTTGTTGCGTGTTTCGGCGCTTGATGTTAATTGCAAAGCCCACCTTTATTTTCATTTCTTCTATCCCACCTACCCATGGACAGGAAACAGAGGCCAATGTAGTGGGAGTTGGCAATGATACCTATTTTCCGGAATCTAAGCCGCCCTGGACTATAAGGCGCGTGTACATGTAGATATGTTTGTCACGAATACAGACATCTATTCTAGTTATCACCATTATTAATTTGACCATCGTACTACATGTATAAGCCACACCGACAGGGGGGGGGGGGGGGGGGGGGGGTTACTGGTGGTTACAGGGGGGGGGGGTTACTGGTGGTTACATAGTCATTACAGGGGGGGGGGGGGGGCTACTGGTGGTTACAGGGGGGTTACTGGTGGTTACAGGGGGGGGGGGTTACTGGTGGTTACAGGGGGGGGGGTTACTGGTGGTTACAGGGGGGGGGGTTACTGGTGGTTACAGGGGGGGGGGGGGGGGGGTTACTGGTGGTTACATTACAGGGGGGGGTTACTGGTGGTTACAGGGGGGGTTACTGGTGGTTACAGGGGGGGGGGGTTACTGGTGGTTACAGGGGGATTACTGGTGGTTACAGGGGGGGATTACTGGTGGTTACAGGGGGGGGGGGGGTTACTGGTGGTTACAGGGGGGGGGGGGATTACTGGTGGTTACAGGGGGGGGGGGGGTTACTGGTGGTTACAGGGGGGGGGGGGGGATTACTGGTGGTTACAGTGCGCCCTATACTCTGGAAAACACGGCACTCGTTTCCACTCCCTTAAACTTATGAAAAGGTTACGTCGGAGTTACATGCATGATTTTAAAAAATTGACACTACATGTACACGAGTACAAGTAGGCACTATAGAGTATAGTCACTAGTGGTCTACACTGTACACACTGCCAGGCCTTGCACTGCACGACTGGAGTTGACTAGGTTTGCAATATTTTTTGAAACTATGTGCATTGTTTGCAATGAATAATTGAAATTGCGAATTGTGGATAGGATAGGGCAACCGCCTCCGGGCTATGGATCATGATTGGCGGGATTGCTTTTATAAACGTACTTCCAGCTGCACACATATTTAACATTACTCCGAAATACTTTGCAGTCGCTACTGGAAATGTGCCCCACCTTTTTCTCCGCTGATTGCTTGATCAGAAGTTCATTTAGCTCCTTCCTGACAGCTTTGGCCACCCACGTGTGCCAGTGGTCTGGGCAGTTCGCGTGCAGCCATTCTATAAGGAGGAGAGGCTGTAAGTTCACCTTGTCCCAGCACTCTGCGTACGTTGCACCACCGGGCTTGGAGAAAATCCGAAGCCTCCTTCGCTTCTCATTCACCGTCGTATAGAAGTCTTTGACAAGGGTGACACCCGCCGCTCCGACACTCTGGAAACCGACTAGTTTGTAGAGAGCGAATAAGCCAAGCGTAGCCAGGAGCACGGAGAATATTCCGAACACTGCAGCAGAGTAGATGTAGTAAAATGTCTCGCTGACGAACTCCCATACCTCGGACAGCATCTTTCCTAGCTGTTAGCGTCTCCAGCGCTCCCAGCAAGGAATGCCAAGGAAGGCAGCCCGTAAATCTATCGGTAGCGCTTATTCGGCCAGTTGGGATTCTGGTTTCTCTCTACTTCAGTAGTGTAGTAGCTCTCCTTTTCACCACATTTAGACAGTATCGTTCTGTTCGTTCCTCCAGTCCACCGTGATCCACGACACGAGTCGATCATCTCATGCCGCTGAGCGCAATGAATGGCGAAAATGATTACAAATCACTGACACTGACACACATGCAGAGTCTTGAGTAGGCAGGCTGCATCACGTGAACGGGGCACTTCAAACCCTGGCCTGGGCCTGTGTGTTGCCGTTGGGAGGGACTCTGGTCCTTGAGTGGAATCCAGAAACTCTACAAACTATGACAGGCGTTGTGGCGTGCAAGAAGCAAAGAACGATGATTTTGTGATCAGAATAAAACGAGCGCTAGCGCTAGCGATGCAAGTAAAGACCAAAAACACCATGAGCACAACGAATAACCGAACTCCCTCGGACCTCAGATCGGGATGTAACATTGTTGTTGTGGCGCTGCATCTGTCTCTGACTAGACTGTCGCGTGTCGGTGCAGTGTCACCTTCTGACTAAATAAATTACTAGTAATGTGACATAATAATACGGCGAACATTTTAACCATTGTGGCATTGATAACTAAGTTACTTTGGCCGTGGATGCCATAATTTATTATGCGCGCGCGCGACTTTCGTGTTTGAAAAAAAACCTCACCAGACAGCTAGCATAACCAAGAGGCAAGACTACCGTTCACTTACGTAGACTAGATAGCATAAGAGGTTGTGTGAAAGAAGTCATGTTAGTAGTCAGCGGAACTGCTTAAGTTATGGGTTATACTTAGAGGGTTAAAAGTACAGTGGAACCGGTGATGGGCGCTAATGATTGTACAATACAAAGTGAGTTGCTAGCGCACTGTGCCGCAACTTTGCCAAATCATCTCAACTGATCATGCACTCTGATCGCATAACCGGGGAAATCTCAGAAAGGGAGTAGACCGGGCACAACATTTCATCAAGGAAAAGGAGGTCGCAAAAATGTCGGCTCAACTGGAGACCATGAAAATTGCGGTGCATGTAACAAAATTTAAAATGTAGCACAGGGCGGAGAATTAGTGTGATGTTATACATGTATGTACCACATGCATGCCTTGTGATCCGGCAGAGCTTTATTACACAGTATGACACATTTTATCAGAGGCTGGTGGAACAAAATGGTGACGTAGGGGGCTAGTAGTGGAAAATGTGACTAAGCATCGCACTGTGAGCCGCTCAACGGTGGCTAAATGATTCGTCTGATCACTCCAAAACAGTACTTTTCACACAATGTGTAGCAGACTAAGTTATATCAGTGTTGGGTGCTGCATGAATGCGATACTCGAAGTATGTGTATGGACGTAGGGACGTAGAACGTTTGCCCTAGTTGCACACGTCAGTTTTGTTGACCCATGGCGTCCAGTATCCATTGAAGTTCTTGGGATTGGCGGCAGGTTGCGAAGCGGTGTGGCCATCAGGCACAGCATGCGCAATGTATTGTGTTTGCAAATGTGCCGTCAGCTGCGTCACAATGGCTGTTTCAGACGTGGCCAAATTGTTCCTCTCCTCCGGATCCTCCCGCGGCTTGAACAAGTAGACGGTATGATTGGCTGCGTCGGGCCCCAGAATGTCCAGGATGTCGGGCAAGTCACTGACCAGGGGTGCGGATATAGCATCGTGCAACAACGATCTATCCCCTTCCCAGCTGGGTTCAGGGTACCAGCCGTCCGGCGCACCGGGCCCGATTAGCAGCTTCCACTCGCCACTGCGCAGGCCCGCATATCCACAGCAGCCCTTGTCACCACCGGTCGCTAGGGGATCATAGTTGTGCAGGATTTCGGTACGAGGTGACTCGCCGCTTCCTGTGGACAGGATCGGCCATAGATCATGCCCATCTAGCGGCAGTGTTCCTTCAGTGTTGCCTCCTGCCGCGGCAATGATCGTGGGAAACAGGTCGGTGGCGTGCATCATAGCGGATGTGTTCTTGTTGCTGACGTCCACACCGGCACCGTGAACAAATGCAGTGCCGCGTACTCCACCGTCCCACAGCGTGTGCTTGCTACCTCGTAGTGGCCAATTCACAGCACCAATACCGCTGAATGTGACATTCACAGGCCCGCCGTTGTCCGCAGTGAATACCATCAAGGTGTCATCCCACAGCCCTAACTCCTTGAAGAGGTCGGTCACGTTTCCGATCGCTTCATCCATGCAGCTCACCATACCGGCGAACTTGCGCCGATTCTTGTTCTCTATGTGCGCGTACGGCTTGACATAGTAGCTGTCGGGTACCTCCTGAGGTGAGTGTACATTCTGGAATGCCAAGTACAGAAACAGCGGCTTGCTGCTTTGACTGTTTGCGTATTGGCGCACAACGCGCTGTGCCTCGCGTGCAAACGTGAACGCCGAGTACGTGCTGTCTTTGGGCACCGGCTGTGTGTCATTCCGGTAGTCTATGCCGCCACTGGCCGTGTGCTCAAAGTAGTCCTCCGCGCCGCCGTAGAAGCCGAAGAAGGTCTCGAATCCGCGCGCCGTCGGAACGTGTTGCCAGCTGTAGAATCCTAGATGCCACTTACCGACCATGTGCGATGTGTATCCAGCCTGTACAATGGAGTATAATATCACAGAGAGGACGCACAAAGTAAGACACAAAATAATTGAAAATATACAGTCAGTCGTTCTTGGAAGAACGACGGCTGCATTCGTAAACCTGCAGCTGGTTTAGCCAGCATTGCCGACTAAGAATGCTTTGCTATTTTTGGGAAGTTGCATCACTTATGACCATGATAGTAAACTCAAATGTCACTTATCGGGTCACTTCAGGATGGAGCCCATGTTGCCTAACCGGTTTATTGTTTGCACGATTTTACTTGTTCATGTGACACAAAACAAACAGAATTGTATTGTGGCAATACTACTTCAGAAGTATTTAGTTACGCTGATGGGATTCCCCGTGGTAGCATACCAAATTATTGACTTCAAGTATTTCTGTTATTAACTTATTATCAAAATTCAGTACAACCAGTTTCGTCTTTTGAGGAAATATAGTACATGTACCGTAGAATCCCGCGGATAAGCCCATGGGCTTATCTGTTTCACAAGGACATTTCGGTGGGCTTATACGAGAACATGGGCCTATACGCGGGCATGGGCTTATACGCCGACACCAAGTTGTGCTATTGAAAGGTATCAAGGAAGTGTGAAGTACATTGCTGAAAACCACTGTGCAAACAAAAACAACCGATGATTGTGCTGAAATGTACGAAAAAAACTATAATGTGCATGACTTCGTACATGTACATGGTATGGCCAAGAGTCCATAATTTATGGAATCCCGGTATGACCTAGGCCCATGGGCTTGTACGATGAAGCTGTGTGATGTTCGAACAAACCCTGGGCTTATGCGCGGGCGGGCATGGGCTTATACGCGGGTGGGCTTATCCGCGGGATTCTACGGTATATCTTATACACGGCTCGGTTCAAGCCAAAGGATCTTGGAGCCGTGGAGGGCACCAGGAGAGCACAGCACCTTTCTGGTAGTGTGCCCTCCTGCCAGGGCATGTGCCATAGTCGAGTAAAGGTAAACCACGCAGCGTAGAGAAACTCCTAGCCGGATTCAAATCAAGTGGACATACAATGTATGAACTATGATCGCATCACTATTCATATGTACATTACTGTATGCACAGTACACACTACCTTCAGTATAGAGGTTATGTGAATGATGTCATGGTGGTGAGTCAGCGGATCCGCTTATAGGAACAAGACATTATATTAGTGTACGGCGAGAATTTTGTGGTTTCCATGGTTTAGCTTTGAGCTAGTGCATCGTGCTGTGCGAGACTTTGGCAAAGCATCTCAACTGATGACACAATCGCATAGCCTCTATACCGTGATGTGCGTTGTATTATGTTATTGAACATGTACAATAATGTGCCATTGCCACTGGCAGCCTGGTCTCTGCACGTGCAGGAGGCTTTATACCGGTGTGTGCCTCTACACATACTTCAGTGGTCGCCCACGGACGCCTGTTTCCTGCATGTACATGATTGTAATGTTACTACATGTAGTTGAGCTTGTTTTGTAGCTTTTCTAAGTGGCCTGCTTGAAGAGAACGTCAAGAATCAAGAGTTTGGGACCACTATACTACAACCAAGCATCATACCTGGTTCAGCTTCTCCGGTAGGAGAGTCTCGTTTGTGGGCAATGCGAACAGCTGATTGTTCGGGTAGACGTGGTGCAACAGTCCGTAGCGGATAGGATAGCGTCCCGTCAGAATGCTCGTCCGCGTTGGCGAGCACACGGGTTGCACGTAATAGTTATCCAGCGTCACTCCGTCCATTGCAAGCTTGTCCAGGACCGGTGTGCGAATCTCGGAGCCGTGGAAGCCCACATCGCCCCAACCCAGGTCGTCGGCGACCACCAGCAGCACGTGAGGCTGTTTGGCAGCCTCGCTAAACTGCCCATGACCAAGGCAAGCGGCGACGGCGACAAGAGTGAAGACACACCAGGAACGAATCATTTCGATCAACGAACGTCTTACCAATCCGGTTCTTCGCATGGTCGGTTGATGGGATACGGTTGCGTTAGTAGTGTATACTATCGGTAGTTGCTTTTCTGTGCCGCATCCTATGATTCCTATCTGATCGGAAATATTCAGGGTGTCGTGAAAACGCTTTCACGACTCCCTGATTGGTATCAGTCGGTCCGACCCAGCTAGGCTACTTGTCTTCAGTACTTGTTACTTACTTGTGCGAACTATTATTGTAAGTACATGTACAGTGCATGCTGGCAACTGAAATCCGACCCAATGCTCTACTACATGTACTATCCGTCTCTGTGCATGTGGTGGCCTGTGTGTCGCTTGGACGCCTACCGCCTTTACCATGTTTACCACGTTTACTTGAGACTTTCCACGGGCAGACTTGTTATGACAGTCATATCGATATCGTCGATCGACGACTAAAGAAGTAAGAGTATCGATTGGTGCATGTGTGGATAATATAGATTTTATCTATAATAATAGTATTAGTTACCAGTCACACCTGAAGATCGCCCAGAGGGTGAAACACTGCGTGACTACATGACAATGCTCCTCTCTTCCTACTTATAAGTTATAGTTATACTGTACTGACAATCTTTGTGTTGATATCATGATTGTGACTTTCAACTACATGTAATACAGTACTTGACTACCGGTATCACGAGTACTGTACTACATGTAGATCTACCGAAAGTGACTCTGAAATCATTATGTTCTAGGGAGGGTAGGTCCCCAGTGTGCACCGACAGCCCCAGACCACCCCAGTAAGCATCTTCCCCGTACGGCCGTGACTCTTGCCACTACGTAACCGTTGCATAGAGTCTTTAGAGATGATAGAGCAACTGCCTCCCCCTCGCAACATGAATCATGATGATAAATGTACCAGAACCATGTACATGTATGTGCATGCCAGTAGGCAGTACTGTGCAGAAAGGTAGACAGGTGCCATAGTTTCCATCTCTATGCTATGCCCTCACAAAGCACTTTGGAATGTTGTATCCACATTGCTGCAAAATGACAATAATACCAACACATCACTCAGTACAACAATTACATGTATGTACAATATACGCATAGATGCCGTTGGTGTTACGCTGGTAGCAGTAGCCAGCACAGTACGAGCGTACTGGCCATAAATTACCATACACTCCTGGAGGTTGAAGATCAATACGAACGTACGAAAAGAAAACACACTAATCACCAATACTGGCAAACCCATGCACTAGCTAGTAGCTACCTTCCACTGAGCTACACTAGCCACCTTCCACTGAGCTACACTAGTTACCATGGTAACTACAGTGTGTATGTACCAGGGAGTAGTAAATACTGTATTTTACTACTCCCTGGTATATACCAAAGACAGTGACAGAGCGCACTAAGTAATAGTTAGTTGACTAAGAGCGCACTAACGGTATTAGTTAGTTGACTAAGTACTGGCAAAGAAAATGAGATCCCATAATTGTACAGAGACTGATGATAACTGCAAACTATACGATGAATATGTGTGCTACAAAGAGGTTCTTAGAGCACATGATTACATGCCTCACATCCACTCTCTAGCTGCAGAGCACTAGCAGCAGCTGTTCCAGCCATGCAGTCTTGCTGAACTATAACATCATACATTGCATGTGAAAGAGTATGGTAGCCACCACACTGGACAGAACCCTACATAGTGTAACATTAGTTACATTGCAGTCTGCTGGCGCCGGACCTAGCGATGCCTGACATATTGATTGCCGCCGGGCATTGCACTGGGGTGTTCGTTTACTTCCAGCCCGGACATGCTATGCCTGGCTTGAGCAGTACATCAAGGACGCAGCAGGGGAGAATCACTGATCAAGCATTGGCGGCCAGGTCATATTCGTTGCCGCTTGCCACACACGGTTCAAAAGTCGTGTGCACAGGGCACTGCTCGGAACTCCCAGTAGGCGCCAGAACGGCATGCACTTCCGAGGCGCCACCATTCTCATGAGGCGTCGGCAGTTTCCGCAGCGCCAAAGCCCCATCAACTTTTGTGTTTTCTGCATACTCACTTTTCCCCTGTCGTGGAAATCCAGTAGCTTACGCATGGTGGGTAGAATGGTTGAATCCTGCATCACACAGTAGGTTCAAGCCAGTTCAGATTTTGGGATTAGCTGAGGGTGATCAGTCAGTCCTCTACAATAAAGTCAAGCCTGTGAATGACAGTGAATCGTAAATATTGATGCTACCTGGGGACCAAACAACCATTTCACAGCATATTATAAACATTACTGTAAAGTGATGAACTTGCGCGGCGTCACGGCAAATTTTGCGTTTCCAAGAAATCTGCAGGTTCACGATGAGAAACTTCCGAGACTTCTTACGTACATGTGCATGTATCTGTTCAGTTGCATAGTGTATTGTATTATACTATCAATGTGGATAGTGTATTGTATACTATCAATGTGCATAGTGTATTGTATACTATCAATGTGGATAGTGTATTGTATACTATCAATGTATACTTTGTGGCGATATAATTATATTCTGTACCTAGATAAAACAGAGAGGTTCCAGGCTGTCCAAGAGAGTGCTCAATACCGAGAGGCAGAGCTAGTTCAAACAATAAAAACGACGGGAAACACTTTTCCCGTCCTCGTATTGTCTGTACCTAGATACTATAATAGGCGGAAAGTGAAACAAGTGCAGCATAACACTGACAGAGCACTGAGACATTCAATGACCTGACACCTAGCTCCAACACATCTCCGAAGCGCTAATCCATTGTTCCACTCTCTGACTATTATAGTATCTAGTTTACAGTGGTGGACATATTCGGATGGAAAGCCAAAGATTAACCCTTTAAGAGCCACAGGAAATTTTCAAAATTCTGCATTTTTTCGTGTTCCTTGGATCATAGCTTCAGTTCTACTCACTCCATCCTCACAATCTAGGGCTTCCTGGAAAGGTCTCCGCGAGAGGAAGAGAATAAGGTCGATCATGATAGCCAGCACACCGTCTATCCAGCGCTAGATCGCAGCGACAGTACGAAAAATGCCCCAAATGCGTCCAATTGCGTCCCGCTCCAGATATTTCATTTTACTCGATCGTGGAGTTCCAATTTTTTCGCTGTGTACTCTTGACAATATCAACAGTGAAACCCGTGCAAATTCGAGTAAACCAGCGTGACGACAAGTCTCAAAATTCTCAATACTAAAGTCGCACTGCACGCTTTTGAAATTGCCGCGATCGCGGCTCAACTTACGAGTGATTTATCTCAGGAACCGTTGCTCGCAGCGCTTCGCGGAGTGTTTCTCCCGACAGGTGAGAGTTTTCTCTTCGCCCTGGATATTTCAATCACTGGATTTGAGCGAGATTGGACTGAGTTACGATCTTTTGAAGTTTTGCATTTGAATGCGTCGTTTACGAACGCATTCAAGTATGGGGCGGCTCTTAAAGGGTTAAGATTAAAAAGAGAGGGCCAAAAAGGAAAAAAACGATAACTTGTAAACATTTGATCCTCTCTCTTGCTCGGGCCTATATCGCGAAAATACTGGAGGTCAAAAACCAGTTTCTCTTCGATTTTGCTTCTAAATTTTCAGGGTTGAAGCGTCCTGAGGGTAAACTATCAATCGCGGCAGGATGTACTGTTGCTTTCACAGTATCTACTAGTCAGTATCGAACATATTCAATGATTAGAGGACACTGCCACATAAACTGTCTACAGTATGTTGCATGTGCTACACATGAGTTATATGTGTTGCTTGTAATTATCATGCACAGTCATCTAGTGCCTTGCTATGCCATCGCATGACACTCCATCCATGTACGGCTTACCTGCACATGACAAGCGTTCATGATCAACCAACCTATGTGGTCTAGCTTGTCATCCTATTGTACACATCCGGTTCTGGATCCTTCTATCTCCTTCTACTGCTTCTAGCACCTTCCGTCCAGTTCTGATAATCTGGAGTGATTTGCATTTCTTTGTTCTTGTTGTTTATGTTCCCAAGAAGTGAAGTTAGAATAGAATGCTCTCGCATGTTGGGTGTGTGTGCTCGAGATAAGTAACAAAGTTCAAGGATCGAACTTTACACAGTACACAGGCAAGACATTTTCATGGGTCAAGCTGGCCAGCTTACCGGGATCTGCCAGCTTCTCGCACTGGTGGACATTGTGCTGTGGAATGCTGGCATGGCTGCTCGACGGGCAGTTTCATCATCGTAACCCGCATCAGAGAGTGACTCATCATCGTTGACAATAGTGTACATGTCCTGGTGATCCGTGGATCTTCTGGTCCTTGCTGTGAAATGTTCATCTAATGATGGCACTGTATATGAACAGGAATAGGAATACAATATGGATACTGGTTTGCCTCTCAATGCAAATACCAGCGTCCATGATTATCGGCCATGTGTTTGACATGATACATTGTATTTGCATGTCATGGAAAACCTTACGCATGCATGCATAGTAGCATACACACACATAGACGTGGGCACACACGTATATAGAGATATGCACACGCACACGCACTTAGACACACAAACAAACACACACATAACTAAGTTCCATGCACATGTACACGCACATCCCCCCCCCTCATGCACTCACATGTAGACTTTTTGCTTAGGGGTCTGAGTTACGACCTCCAGCACGTTAAACATGGTCCACTTACTGAATGCGATCATGAAACCCGCTACTCTCCCACCAATGTCATTATGGTCACTGTGGAAGGTCACGTTGAGAGACCCATAGTAGCTGAAAGCCGAGCCCATATCCACAATGTCGCCGCAAACGCGCCGTATGGAGCCGTCCGACAGAGGATACTCGACGTGGTCCGCTAAACAGTTAAATGAGCCCTCCATTACTAAGTGTGTGAACTCGGAGTAGATCACGTAGAGCTCGGGAAACGCGGTGGTGAAGTAGAAGTGGCAGTCCATGTTGCTGAAGAAACCACACTGTCCTGTTGACACCCTGTTTTCGATATCCGATGCCAACTGCACCAGGCATGTTCCGTCGGTCTCGTTGCGACTCTCGTCGACTGGCACGCTGAAAATGGCCTGTTGGAGGAACGGATCGCCGCCACTCATGTACGTCATGAACTGGGGCACGCAGCCGCTGCGTTCCTCATCTCCTCCGGCACACGTGCATTTCGCTTTGGAATCCCCGTATGGAAATCTACAAGCAAACAGTTTGAAGCAAGACTTAGCCGAAAAGGGCTAGCATGGGTATAGAGGTACATCTCCTGTAATGCTAAAACATAAGGCTGGCCGCATGTGATTTCGTGCACACACACAGAGAGGTTAACCCAGTCTTTGCCATTGGACTTAGATTGCAGCGGCATTCTTTTGCCCAAGTGCTCATCATGGTTTGAGGTGTTTGACAGCTGAGATCACAGTTGGTCAGTATGATAATTATGACAGGTTCACCACTTGTAAGCATGGCTCACGATCGAATAATTCGAGCGTACTCTTTGCCACACGTCTTCGGTCTTTTTGACCATGGTTTCAACCTTGACTGTAGGTAGCCGGGTGTCGTGAAAGGGCTTTCACAGCTCCTGGATTTCAACGAGTTATCATGGCTGCGTTTTGCAGAGATGTATCAAAGCTGCTTTAGCTATTTTCTAAGCACAAATCTCAAGAACTGCAGTCTGCAAACGAGCTGTAAAAGCTATCAATGTTCAAATTGGGAGATTTTGCAGCCTTGGTGCCATAGCATTTAATATCTGAGTTTATAGGTTAGTGCATGGCAGGGAGGGCCTTTTATGGCTTGTTAGTGCCCGACAGGTTAGCCTGCGGGCCGTAGGCCCGCGGGCTAACCTGAAGGGCACAAACAAGCCATAAGGCCCTCCCTGCCATGCACTAACTATTTTAGAACGAGGTTACATAAGTTATCTCCCTTGCATTATGCTTGTGTACCCTTATATTGGGTAATTTATGGTTTGTGTGCAGAGAGAATTCGTGTGGTATGATAGAATATTTTCTTCTGGTAAAGCCTAGTTCACATTCGACGCAACGCCGACGGTACTGGACGTAAGGGCTTGTCGGGAGGGCTGGGGTGAGCTGTAAAATCCTGTACGATTCGTACGACACGACATGCAGCAGTCGTTGCGTTGTTCAACGTCGAACGGCGCGAGTCATAAGGCACGGTCCGTGACGGGGTGACTTTCGGGCCTAATTTCTCGTTTTTCGGGACTTCTTTTCAATTATTTCTCCTTGAAAGAAGCGGAATCAAGTTCACAATACCAGTTTTTCATGAAGACCAAAAAACTAGCCCTGAAAGTTGTAGCATTCACATAATAGCCCCATGAAATGATAGAATAGTTCGTCTGTCACGCTTCTGAACTATCCCTAAATGCAATAAGTGACATGAGATCTTATGTTGCTAAAATTCAACTAAAGTCGTGCTAGCCATTCTGTGAGTTATCATGGGAAGCGCAGTGTTCGAAATGCAAAAAAATCCAAGTACGAATCGGGAGTAGTCGGCGCACGACGCCGTCTCCTGTTCATTGCAGCCGTTTTGTATGCTTGCGTCCCCGTCTACGCCCGTCTACAGTATGAAAAGTTGGATCAATCCAACTCTTCCCGTCGCTTCCCGATCTGTACGGTAGTACGGTTGCGTTCCCGTTCCTGGTGTTCACATTGGACGCCGTCAGACGGTCCCGTCGCTTCCCGTCGATCCTTACGTCGCGTCCCGTCGCGCCCCGTCGAATGTGAACTAGGCTTAACTCAGCACCACTGAGGCCTACTAAAAGTAGAATAGAAGCAAATGAAATGCTGGGCTCTTATTGCGAGCTTCATTCTTATTCATAGCTTGTGGAGCTATTTAGGGGCTTCGAGAGCCCCTTTTTGAAACCGATAATGACTTTGATCTTCGGTTTTTATAGGGTTCTGCCAGCTGTTGACAAAGGAAAATCGTACAGATAAAAAGTACGGGAGGCAAAACCGTACACACTTCTGAAATGCGTAGCTTTTAGTAGTACACTGTACATTTTATGCAGAGTTCATTATCCGCACCGTACTATAATGTGTACAGGAAGTTGTACGCACATGTTTAGACAAAGTAGTAAAATTACGACTGAGCGGGCTTTAAAATCTGATAAGGCCCTTGGCAGGAATGTCGCTGATGGGTCGTTTCCTTTTTTCTTTTCTTTTTAACAGGACAACAATTATTTATTTGGGTAACAATGAGAAAACCAAAACAAAGGCAATCATTTCCTGGACAACGAGACGAGACAGACCTCGTTCTAAGCCATTTTAGGGGGCATTCGAGTTCACCTCATCAACTTTTGGAGAAACATGTTAGAATTCATTAGTTGAAGTATCCCAATAAAAAGGTTGCTGTCAGCCTCACCACTTTTCAGTGGAGTCATCATAGCAATGAGATTTTCTAAGCGTGCTTCCACGTTCACCAAAATGGGTTTCCCTTACGGTATGTGCAGGTTTTGTCGTAGGTACCACGGGAAATTCACACACAAAACAGTTTTCACGGGGGTATTCCAAACTCTTCTAAACTAATCCACCTCTCCCTTTGGATGACACCGTGCAGTTTCAAAGAGTTTTGAGGAGACTTTCATTTTCTGAAGAGGCCAATGACCTACCTCTTCAGAAAAACGAAACTCCTCGAAAAGTCACGGATAATTCGAACGCCCCCTTTGCCTTGTCGAGTCAACCTAGCCAATGTCTATATTCTGGAGGGGTAATCGAGCACGCCCCAAAGGCCAAACAACCCGTCCACAACGGGCACTACACCGCTGGACCATGCACCAAAAATAGCACTGCAACCCGGTGCAGGCATCATTATTGCAGTGAAACCACACAGATAAGACAAACTTTCGCTTTAGAAGAACTGATATTCCTAACTCTATTGGAAAAATCACTATGTATTCGTTGCCGGGGCATGAAATATGGATAAGAAGAACTCCCCTTATTGCGAACAAATACCATCGACCTTGGTGTTCCGACTGTTCGTCCTAAACTAAAGTCAAGAGGTTTGACTGTAGATCTACAGTACAGTACATGGTAGTAACGGTTACAGTGAAGGACAGGTGAAGGACAGGTGGCTAGGGAAAGATAGCAGCTCTATTGCCTTCTACTTCTAGAATCGACAATATTCTCTTACGGGTGAGCAGAAATACGACCAGCAGCCATCAGTACTAGTGCACATTGCAGTAGGATTCTGGTTAGTGGCAGCACTAGCGGTTGTTGAAGAGAGTTTCCTGTCAGGAGCTTCGTCATGGCGGCCGCCTTCAACGGTTGTGACGGAAATAACTTGTCGTGTAGTATTGCGGCCGTCGGGACCAGTCAGTCCTGATTTGGGACTGCAGTTATCCGACAAGGAATTAGTCCGTCGTAACAGGGACAGCTATTCGATGCAGTCTAGTCTGCTCAACGTTACTTACTAGTAGTAGAAGTTGGTGGTGTGCTCGCAAGCAAAGCCTACTACCCGCCATTCCTGCCAGGTGCTGGTCTGCAGCTTACTAACTGTTCGGCTTTCAAGCGACAGCGAACGATAGTACATTAATTTTGTAGTGCCAACTCGAATGCTGGGTGTAATGTTGCACCCTGGCCCTGCCTGAGGCTGCACTGGCGATACGACTTACGAGGAGACTGCGGGTTTTGCTGACCACGGAGACGACCGTAAAGCTGGGGAAGAAAATGAACGACCGTGTGGGCTGCTGCTTGGATCTGGCGCGATATATGGATACCACCGATAGTACCGACTACAAATAGTGCATTTATCAAAGTATCACCAAGGTGAGTCACGGCTGTTTGTAATCATGCCTTCATGGACTCAAGCCTTGAAGCCGTCACAGCCGAGGCGGCTGGGGCGGCTGAGGCCGCCCCACTTTTTCGGCCGTTTTTTTTTTTTTTTTTTTGGAGCACATTGCAACAAGGCGCGATGATCGCAGCTTAGCGCAAACATGACAAATCCTTGTCGTGGTTTGTTGCAGAATCAGAAAGTCTTTCATTGCAGTTACATGTACATGTACACTGAAATGGCACCAAATGCCTGGAAATGCTTGCAATTGGCTTCAATCTTTGAATTTTTTTCCTGGGGGAGGGTAATGTTTGTCCCGATCGTAGCGTCTTCTTGGTTTGTTGCAGAATCAAAAAGACTTTCATTGTAGTTACCGTACACTGAAATGGCACCAAATGCCCGGAAATGCTTGCAATTGGCTTCAATTTTTGAATTTTTTCCTCGGGGGAGGACCCCCCACTCCATGGCCGCCCCACCTCCAAAGTCGGTGCGACGGGCCTGCAGGTCTACCCTCATTAGTAGACAAATCCGGGACCGGTTTAAAAAAATGTTGTCTTGTTTTTATTTGTATAAACGAGTATTACCTACTATCCGGAGTTGCATACACGCGTTCGAGGCGCCAGGGGATTTTGGACCCTTGTCTACCATTGAGGTGTGTCTTGCAACAAATGTCATACCGTTACTACGGCGTTAGTAACGAGGGTAGACCTGTAATGATCATGATGATGGGCATATGTACTCAGTGAACAGTAAAAGAGGTTAGACACGTGACAGACCTTCGTAGTTTCGACGGAGAAGGCAAGGACGAAGCAGATTACCATCATACATTGGCTCAGTGTGCTCGGGAGACGCCGAGTTTCTCCTGCCTTATTCCGGGGAAAAAAACTTGAAGTTCCCTTTCCCGCAAGCTCCCAATGTAGGATATCCTTAGTCTCCTATTATGTGACTCCCGGGGAATGTAGCCTCTCAGTGGAACCAATGTCAAGCGGATACAACAAGTGATGATCAGGCCTGTGATATCACACAATGCAGTAGTATAATGCAGCGAACAGGGCAGGCCGGGCAAAGCCTCAACAGAGCAGGACAGGCAAAGAGAAATGTAGCAAAAATCAGTGCACGCTGAGTGCCTAGAGCCGGGTAATCATGTTCAAGTTGACTAGTGGTTCCATCTCTTTGATGTTGAGCAAATATATATATAAATTAGAGGAAGAGACCTGTGGTGATGTTCGAGGCACAGGCTATGAGTATCAGTCGACGGCATATGCTGATCATCGTAATTCCAGTAGGCATTGCTGCCGTGTGCACCATCGTGATCACTGGTGCTATACTGAGTCATCTGGGGGTAGTCTCTTGAGTCTTGGTGTGTGACAACAAGAGTCTTAACTTCAAGCAGGGGTGTCGGAACCACTACGGTCACTACGATATCGACTGTACCGGGCTCTATTTTTTTGCCCCAGTGAATCAATGAAAATGCATTCCCGAATTTTTCCTGGGAAAATGTTAGGGAAACTGGGCTCAACTAGCTCATATTACATTGCTTCAAAAATCACTAGATGAAACTTTTTATTGGTGCGGCTTTGGCCCCACCTGCCGCACCGGTACCGACGCCCCTGAATGTACATGACTATGTACATGGACATGTACATTGTACATGATATTGGGCACGTTTGATTACACACATTTCGGTCAATTCTAGACTGATCAGTGATTAGGTATGGTGGATGGCTGCATCATTCGACACAGATTCCGTCATCAGAATCGACGGAATCCAATTCCGTCGATTCTGAAGAGAGGGCGGAATTGCTAATTCCGGTCCCGCCAGAATTGATGCACTCTACGTACACGCCATGCTAGGTCCACGTGCTCGCGAGGGTGTATGGGATCCCACGTGATCCCCTTTTTACGATGTAACGTGCAGTCGTTCGTTTACTGACATGGCCGCAACTTGATCCGTTCATTCTGTTCATTCGAAACCTGGGTACAGAATATGTGACTGCGTAATCATAGTACTGTAAATGCCATTATCCTAACGAGGTGCATATAATTATAACGATTTCCCAAAATATGCACTTGGCACGTACATTGTGCGGGTGATCTTTCGGAGCCCGGGGGGGGGGGGGGGTCCACTTGGCATGTACATTGTGCGGGTGATCCTTATACCGGGATTTAATTTCCGGCCCAAGGGGGGGGGGTCCCCCGTCGGTTTCCGAGGAAGCCGTAATTTTTTTCGCTCCAAACTATTTTTCCGGGGTCCATCTACTCACAAAAAGTCGTTTTGCACACCTTTTTGCCCATCCCTGTACAACTGAGTCCAGCTATGTCCGCGCAGAGTTACCGTATTTTACCGGTTGTAAGTCGACCCCGGTTATTAGTCGACCCCCCTATCTGGAGGTCTCAATTCTGCGTTTTAATAAAGTTTTCACCCAAAGAAGCACTACTAACCACCTCCTGCTACTAACACCTCAACAAATCATGTAAACATTCCTTATTGGAGTCACCCGTGTTCGATTGGGAATAAGGGCCGAATGCTGCATCGCCACCTTTTCGGACCAAAACCAGTCGACTCAGCGTCCAAAAGACTACAACATATGGACCAATCGCGGTCCGTCCGTGCTTTTATAAGAACGAAAACGGCGCTTTTAGTGACTTTTCCTTACAAATCCCCATCTAGTAGGGCGCAGTCACCCAGTTTCGGTGGAAGTGTGCGAGTTCGATTGGGACTAAAGGCCGGAGGAAGGGAGCGTCTCAGCTCCCTCGGACCGAGACCATTCGACTCGTGGAGTCGTAGATCTACCCCGTAGCAACAAGAGTCCATGGACTCTTGGTAGCAATCATCAGCCTCTCTTCCAAGTCCGCAGAAAACTGAACTGCGAACAAATAGTTGAACCGTCGGAACCAGAGCCAGACAAAGGCCACAGCCAGCCTGAGCAGCGCAGCACAGAGGCAGATGTGATGACGTGTTTGAAATACAGTAGATATCGGTTATAACGTGCCCTTCTGATTTTTCACATTTTATCACTATAACCGGTATATCACTACAGGCGATTTTCAACTGCGCGTCATACATACACGTTATACACGTGTGGGTACTCGATCGCGCTAATGTAGCGTACTGATACGTGATGGATGCTACTGCACCTTCTCCAGTCTAGAGTGAAGAACGTCTTGGCCCAAAGGCATCATCCAGGAAGCACCAGACCAGAATACCCTATGAAAACACGCATGTGGCTCCAAATCGAGACATCAATGCCTCACACTCGTGTGTTGCTATCACTATAGACGATAATTTTTCTGCACAAATAGGTGTTTTGAATGGTCATTCTGTATCCTTATAGCCGATTTATCGCTATATACGATATATTGGTTATAATGATAATTTGACTGGCTTTTTCTTGTTTTGCTTTTGATATTTTCATTTTGTATCAATATAGCCGGTTTATCACTATGTCCGATGACTTTATAACCGATATTCACTGTATTCGAATGGCAAGACGGTATCCGTCGGGTCAATATTTTACTACTCCCCCTTTTTTGAACGACTTGCATGCTTGACTGTCTTCGAAGCTTCACCTGTGCTGTTGACGTCCGCATGCCTGTACATACTAACATAGATCGATGTGCAATAAATGCATTGCACTTTACCACAAATCAGGTGGGAATGTATGTGGCTGACTGACCAACCTGGTATTGACTGTTGGGTCAAAAGAAGCTTCATTCCAGCTGGAAACCAGGAAGATTCTCAACTTGCCTTTGCAGTTATCTCTTTCTCTTCATCTGTGCAGCTTACGTTGCCCATCTGCTAAGCTACTGTTGTGTGCGGCCCTGCGTTGGCGTAGAAATTTCTTTTTTTGTAGTGACTGATTGCTCCCGTGTTGGAATGCTGAATTGACAGAGGGAATACGTTTTCAACCTAATGGCTTCAAATCCACCCGAAATTAGACAACATGTTATCGACAACGCTGCGAAAGCGAAGGTCGGCATTGAGCATTACTATGACAATTTAATCAACCAGCACGAAGAAAGGCAGGCTCGGTGAGTTTTACATTTCAAGAATTCATTTCTTGTTTCGTATTTTTGGTGTGTTGTATGTTGCGGTGTGGGGTTTGTATGAGTGCAAGATCTTTCCGGCCTTTTTCCCCAGATGCAATCCATATTTTCAGCAGCCCACTAGTAAAATCCGAGGGCAAGGTTTTGTACTTCTGGCTTCTCCATCTGCTGTAACGGCGTTAGTTTCCCACTTGAAGTATTCTCATTTTTCTTTCAAAACTTTGACTCCTATTTTAAAGTACTGTATTGGCCTGCGGGCTCATTTAGTACTACATGTATAGCGTAAAGAAAGCCTTTTCTAAGATAAAAGTAGGGTTAGTGTGTTTCACAGAATATAAATTCCACACGTCTTCATTGATGCCACAATTCACTCCAGTGCAAGACGAATGGTCTGTTGTGACAAATACGCTCCCCACCAGCTAGCACATGACAAGTTGGTCATTGGAAAGGTTTAGTGAGTTGCAGAGCGAGTACGTTGCGAGTCACCTCGAGTGAGACTGGCTATACTTGTGGATTATCACAAGGCTCCCTAATCATTCAGGCCAGACCTGGGGCATATCGGTATAGTCCACTCGTGACATGCTCGTTTCACAACTTCTTTTA